CCAGTAGCGGGGGCTCCTGTGGTACAAAATTCTCGGCATATGATGTGGCTGGTGGCGAAGCCGACATTCCATAGGCCAGATCGGCCACGGATCTCTGGAGGTCGCCGATCATTCCCATTAACTCAAGCGTGGTGGGCTCATGAGCCTGATACAACTGGGGGGTCCAGATCAGGTGTGCAGCAGGCAACCTGGGTGGATGCGGTACATCAACATTGGTCTCATCCTGCGGGATGATCCCTTGGTCTAATGCGGCTGCCATAACCACAATTTCCTCTGAGCTTTGGGTCGTCATAAGTCTGTTGAACCAAACGGAGACGATGCAGTCGGTGATCGATGGATCCGATATCTGTCTTGCCTCAGCGAGGAAGAACACCAAATCTCTGAACCCAAATCTCTGAACTGAAAGGGAAAGCAAACAGTATTTCAGCCCAACTGAACAGACATAAGCGTAGCCGAATAACTGTACTCTACTACTGATCACTGTTCCACAAAATCACTGCCCCGAAACACTGAATCTAATATCCGCGGATATAACCGATTCTCAAATTCTGATACTGATGCCCTTAGGCCTGATGCCCCAGACTTACAAACTGGTATGTACGTTCCTGTAGAGATACACTCTAAAAGCACATAGCAAGTAAGAGAGAGCCAAAACACCCCTATGTTAGGGTGGGATTTCCTTGTCCTATTTTGTTAGGAGCTAGGGTTTCACTACGCACACAGCAGTTTCAAACAACCTAACATCGGGTAAGCAACCTGTCCTACCTTGGAATGGTCACTACGGATTTCGATATGCACTAGGTCGAATGGTCAAAAGGGTGCCCCAGTAAAACCGAGGTTTGTGTTCCCATACTGTCAGAGCCCATAACCGGTCAGCCTTATGGTCATGCCTTGACAAGACAAGCCTCTAGCAAACCGTTCAGGAATGGCAGATGGCAAACACGGTGTCCTAGGCGCACCAATGCACATGCAATGCAAAGAAACGCATAAGTGAAATAAAAAACAGGATATCACGAGTTCGAGTCAAGCTCTCTAACTCCCCAGCAGAGTCGCCAGAAACTGTAGACGTCCCCGAACACCCCGGGAGGATGAGTCCCATTCTGTTCGTTTTGGGCTCACTACAGTTTAGACTCTCAAATCGTCACGGTTCTTAATCTGAACCAAAGAGTCCAAATCCGGCAAATCGTTTTGGAAAACAGATTTTTAGAAAGAAGTGCCAAACATGGACTGCTTTGCCAGATACAGAGTCACCACCTAAATATTTTTTTAATGGGGAATTTAGGAAACCCTGACTCGTTTGCCTAAGGCCACGTGTCCGTCATCACCAGAGTTGCCTCGGCTCGGGAACTTGGGTACGATTGGAGAAGGTCAGCTATGAGCACCCCCTCTCGCCCGATCTGAAAATCGGTCTCTACTAATCATGATATCCAATTTTGAAAACGTTATGTGTTCTTATTCTGGTTAATTAGCTAGAATTACTATGTGATGCGCGCAATAAAACGTATAGACTAGATCGCCTAATTCGGAACAAAGCATCGCATATCTGTTTGTTTAGAAAATGTTTTGAAATTTGCTACTCGTGAGTAGGCTAAAACACGAATTTTGATGAGTTGTTCCAACTCAAGCAATCTAACCTTCACCCACAGGCATTCAAGCAGTTCATATCACATAAGCATCTAGCCGCATGGTAAGCATGCTGTCATGTTAACATTCACACTCGTGCGAGATGCTAAAGCACAAAATACTTACAGTGTACTCCAAGCCAAAACAAAGAACTCGTTAGCAATCAATGTATGATCCAAGTCCATGTTAAGTGCCTAACGTAACGCATACCGAATGCAATCAGGATAGACTTGGCTAATCCTAGGATGGCATGTGAAATGCACCATTTGATGCACGTATTCAAGTTAGATTTGAAATACTATGCAGTTAGCATGATGTGCCGAGCCCGATGCATGAAATACCGATGAATGATGCACGCAATACCGATGAATGATGCACGCATGCATAGCATTAGGATGCTAAATTAAATATGCCCTAGTACTAACCATCAAAGCAGGTAAGTAAAAGGGAGAAAGAAGTGGGGGTTGGATGACATGCACACACGTACCCACACTTATTACAAATTTGCCCTCAGTCAGAGGGACCAAAAGAATAATACAGATTTAACTAACCTACAAGCTAATTAAATATTACAGACCAATTAAACTAGTTAAGCAAATTAAATAATCTAATAAAACAGCAAACAGCCCGGGGAGAGGGCCCGATGCAATGCGTGCTCGGCTCCGCTCGGAAGTCCACTGTCATACACAAGTTGGCCTCTGTTTCCCCTGCTCTGTTCTTCTGAAAATTGCACGACTCCCAAGGTATGCTCTATGGACACTATGGATCGCCACAGACCAAGTGGAAACCCCACCGACCATGTCCGGATGGTCATCGACCATTTGTTGAGCTCTCGGCCATCAATAATTGGTCGGTCGGCAGAGGGCAAAACAAGGCATGGCAATGCATTTCAAGCAAATATGTGCACCAACACATCCCTTATCATGTTTGTGACTCAAAGGGGTATGTTCCTTGATTCTCGGACCACCAATCGCGCATTTCAATGCGTGATGGCCCAAGGAACCAAGTTGTGCATTTTGATTTCAAATGAAATGCAATGGATAGAAACATACAAAGGGGCTTTCAACCTCTATCATGGCTTGATCAAGAGGTGAAAGATGCATGCAATGATATGCAACCTAGACATGTGAGCTAAGTGTGCAACATGAGATGCAAACAAGTAAGCATGCAATAGACACACAACCTAAGCAAATAAGTATGCAAGACATGGAATAACTATGTAAGCTTAACCATACAAGCATCCAAGGTGCAACATAGACAACATGTTAGGCAACTTAGCCAAGAGAATGTGTGCCAAATGCAAAACGATTAAAGCATACAACACATGCAATAGGCTAAGTATATGACAACACACAAGGTGAGCATGCAACAACATGCAAACAATGAACTTATACCAAATTTGGGTAGCCCTATACTAGGCCCAAAACAGTGGCCAACACACTAAGGAATGAGAGGCAAAACACACACAAACATGCACATGTTAAGGCCTAAACACTTAAGCATATGGAGACAACTTTTAAGCACACTTAAAAGAGGATAAACATGGACACATAGCATGCACAGAAAGCTCTGAAAATCATGTTATAAAGGTGCCAAACCAGGTAAACAAGACAAGCTAAACATGCAACAATGGTCCAAGATTCAAGGAAAGCCTAAGGGGCTTAAACCATGGCTAAGTCAAACAAGCCCCACAAAGCTAAAAGGACTTAAAACAGGTCTAAGGCAGACCTAAACAAAGCTAAGGACACACCTAGATAGCATATAAGTGGTCCGAACATTCAAGCATATAAAAGAGGCCACACATGGAGCATAAGATGACAACCTTGTAAGGCATTAAAGGGACATCAAATGCAAGCATACAAGCATACCATGAGGACTGAAATGGTGCTATAAGTAGTGCCAAACCACTGAAATGATGCAAGGATGGCATGCTAGAGGGGTCAATGCTCAAGACATACAAGAGAGTTTGCATGGTAGCTATACAATGAAAAGCATGGACAACTCAAATGACCAAAAATAGACCTTTAGCATGCTAAAACAAGCATAAAAACTTCACAAAGCTAAGCCAAAAACATGCTAGAAACAAGACTCAAAGCACAAGGCATGTTAAGGCAAGTCATGGCATTACAAGACATGTATGCTAAGCAAGCATGGTGTGCCTAAGCCAACTCACAACAATGCTATATCATGGCAAGATAGTCATAAAAAACAATTAAGACATGGCCAACATACACTTAAACAAGGTGCTCACTAATGAGGCTAAAATGGCCCTTTTCAGGGACAACAAGGAGAGGGGGTGGCCCTCTCCTTCTTAGGACCTTAAACCACCATCCTCACCACTAAAATCCCTCAAGATTTCAGTGGTAAGGAGGCCCAAACAAAGTGGTGCCAGAGCTCACCAACATAGTACAAAAATAGGGCCAAACAAGGCTTAAGAGGGGTCAAACAATCCCAAAGCTCAAAGCAACCTGAAACAACTATTTTAAGCAGGTAAAAATAGAACTTTTATATGTTATATGCAAAGTCTAAAAATAGCTGCAAGATAGTCAAAAAAGCTATGCAAAAATGGAGAATAAAGGGCAAGAACACTCACCCTTGAAGAACACTTCCAAGATCACAAGACCAGTCCTCTTCTTGGATCAAAACCAACTCAAAAAGTCCAAGATCAACCTTCTAATGCCTCAGCAACTAAGGGAAGGTGCAATGGTATGTGTTTGTGTGAAATAGTAAGAACAAACACACACTAAACACTCAAGAGAGGGAGAGATATAGAGATAGAGTATGAACAAACCCTAACCCTAAAACTCAAAACTCTGAAAAATTTTGTCAACCCTAATGGAGGGAGAAGAGGCTCCCTCTTATAGACAATCCCTCTTGTAAAGCTTTCCATACAAGCTAGCCAAAAGGGAGATCCCTCCATACACGTGTATGGAGGGGAGCAAAGTGTATGCCAGCTAGCACAGCTGGAATAAAAATATCTGCAAAAGCAGATGAACAGTGGTCGGCCAGCCAAAAATGCAATTTGACCAAAATAGATGGCCGGTCGACCATCTAGAGTGCCGGTCGGCCAAACATTTGGCCGATGGCAACAAAACACAGCCGGTGGCCTCAAGCCATGGCCGGTGGAGTGTGGCGATGGCCAACAAGCCATTCCCTGCCCTCCAAAGCAAAAACACAAGTGTTTGGTCCAAACCCAAACACAAAACAGTCGAGTCGAGAGATCTTGAGGCAAGGCGCGTAGTCGAGACCTCCGGGAACTCAAGATGAACACAAACAAGGATGATCACCGAGTGTTCAAACGGTGACGTCCAAGTCTTGAGGACGGTCAAAAATGGGGTGTCTACAGCCTCATACTCATACCGCTAGTGCTACCCTTGGCACATCATATGATCTACAAGGATACAAGGGTATGTATATGTTGGTATCAACTTTCACTTCGAAGAAAGACTCATTCATAAAACTACCAGTCATGAACATGTGAGTGAGTCAATTATATACATAAATTGAACTATTCAAGTTCAGTCCCCCTCACCCCTGCTTTCTCCTCTTGTTTTGCTGGATTAGGCTTTTACATGCATTATGCATTCTTGCTAAAGTTCCAAGCATCAATTATAAAGGACATGCGATTATGATAGGAAAAGGGTTTTTACAAGATTCAGGATGGAGAAGAATGGTTAAGCTTCTGTCTCTTTATACCAACAATATTAATTGTAGCAATCTAATCCAATCTTTGAGCAAATTACTATACCATAAAGAAAAGGAAAAGTAAAAAAATGGAGGTGCTCATGTACATGTCTGTTACAATTCAGAAAACAGAAATAAAGTTGCAATATTGTCATATAATTAAAGGATACTGTCGAGCTTGTCTGACAGAATCTGGATTCTTGTAGCGGCTAAAGCGCTTGACATACTGCAGCATAGCATGATATGTTACATGAGCATGTTCATTAGTAAGGTAAAACCCCATTGATTATTCAGGAAAGAGGTGAATATTATTCAATTAGGCAAGAAGAACCCAATTTGCAGTATTTCTAATAATTTATAAAACCTCCATTTAATTATGTTAAATATAATAATCTAATAATTCCTTAATCCTCCATTTAACTATGCTAAATCTTGAAATCAAGCCCTCCAACAGTAGCAGCGCTCTAGCAACAAAACCTACACAAGAATAATAAAAATCAAAGAAAAAGATGAAGAAACATTACTACTTTAAGCTTAAACCTGTTGACTAGGCACAAATATTCACTGTTTGAAATGTCAAATTGATGGTTGGTTTGGATTCTATGACGTGAAAACTAAAGACACATTGGTTGTAGTTTAAAAAATATAAATCATTCCAGGTGAAAATTTCTGCATACTTGGATCAATCAACACATATTCCTCTTAAAAATTCTATGACCACATTTGATTACAAAAAATGAAACATGCAAATTGACTTCAATCAACATCTATTCCTCTTAAAAACTGAGCATAACTATGAAGAAATGAAAACACATACAAACTAACAAAATTTGATAATAGACTGAAGTTAAGGCTGTTGAGCAAAGCTAGACAGAGTGTCCTTTTCAGTTATGACAAATATATAGCACTAAATCAATTATGAGCTAATCTTGCAGCTGTAAATTATTCAAAAAGATTTGAAAACATCAATTGAGTACTTACAGCTGTTTATGGAGCAGATCAAAATCACTGTTGAATGAGCTAATCTTTGGTTCTTCATTGCACCAAAACTGCAGATCAACACCACCCACAAATTATAGTTAGGCATGTATGTCTCCAACAAATCAATACATGAATTTGGAAACTTAGGCCACAACAATAAATAAGACATACCAAAAGTTTGATTAAGACCAGCAAGTATAAAATAATACAATTAATTCTAATTGTTTGTTCCATCACAAACAAGATTTGCAAATACCCCACACCATAAAAACAGCTTCAAATCTAACATGAGATGCACGACACAAATAGCCAATATGACACTATAATATTTAAACTTAGTGATAATTATTTAAACAACTTCAGGTCATGCTTTAAAAAATTAATATCGATTTCTTGATAATTATTTGTTTTGAATTTCAAAGGCAAGATCATGCTCATGAACCAAAAGTGTCAATAGTCTACATTGACCCATAATTAAAATAAGCAAAAAAGATATCACAAAACAAAAAAACAAAAAAACAAACAAAACAAAACAAAAAACCTGATCAATCTTGATTTCATTAGCATGACCCTTGAATTAATCGTGTGCCTGTTTAATTAGAAGTAAGGTGTCTAACTGAATATGGTGTGAAACTAGTGTTTTATACACAATGAAAATATGAGAAAGGGAAAAGATTTTTTTTTGTTCACAAGTCCCATAAAATCTATCACTCATCTAATTTAATGATCTAAAGTGTTTATTTTATTTGTAGTTCAGTCATAAAAAAATCAAATTGATAATGATATTTTGACATCCAAATTCTAGTTTGAATTTGCAAAATCATTTCAAATTGAGTCAAATCTGATGGATTTGAACCTTATCTGAATCAATTTGAAGCCCTAGCAACCTGAATTGAACTAAAATTCCCTTCAATTAAGTTCCAAACTACGGCCAATTCATGTGTGAAAGGTGTGAACATGTTTCCTGAATTAGTTTTAAAGCTAAGTCAAATTGTTAACAACATTTTCAGAGAGAGAGAGAGAGAGAGCATACGGGCAGTAGGACTTGGAGAAGATGATGATGGAGTGGGACGCTGCTATCACCGCCCCTACTCACTGCCGCTATTCACAGTTGCTCTATGCCACCTCGCTGCTCTACGCCGCTGAGTGAGTGAGAGAGAGGCGATTGAGACTGAGTGAGTGCGCGAGAGAGAAAGAAAGAGATGCCATTGAGAGAGATGAGTGACTAAGAGAGATGCGCGACTGAGAGAGATGCTGCCGCTGCATGCCATCGCCTCTGTTGCCCTACGCCGTTGAGAGAGAGATGAGCGCGACTGAGACAGAGAGACAACTGAGCGACTGTGAGCAAGAGGGGATAAAGAAAAATGGGGTGAAATTTTGGGAATAATTTGTTAGTTAGTTTTTTTTTTTTTTTTTTTGTTGTTTTTTTTTTTTTTTTTTTTGGCAAATGAGCGAGTTAGAGGTTTTGTATTAAAAGTTTATTTCAATTTTTTAAAATTATTTTTTGAGTTTTTAATCAGTAATTTTTTTATTTTTAGTGAAATTTTTTAATATTTTAATCAATTTTTAATTGATTAAAATATTTAAAAAGTTCGTTAAAATTTTTTAAAAAATAAGAATTAAAGCTTGAAAAATAGTTTTTGAAAACTAAAACCAAACAAAATCGATTCAAACTCACCTTTTTAATAAAGGGGTTTAAATGGGTTCGGTGGAGGTGGAGTGCTAGTAGTGGTGGTAGTGGAGTGGCGGCAATGGTAGTGGTAAAGTAAGGCAGTGGAGGTGGAAGAAAAATGATAGCGGCGGTGGTGGTAATGGTAGTGGTGGGGCAGTGGTAGTGGTAGTGGTGGTGATGCAGTGGCGGAGGCGGCGGTGGTGGAGTAGCTGTAGTAGTGGTAATGGTGGTGGTGAAGTAGTAGTGGTGGGGATGTAAAGGTGATGGTTATGGTGGCAAAGTGGTGGGGGTGGCAGTGTTGGTAGAAGAGAGTTAGTCACGGCAGTGGTAGAGTAGTGATGGCGGTGGTGGAAGATACGTGGTGGTAGTAGTGATAGTAGTGGTGCAGTGACAACAATAGCAGAATAATGGTAAAAGTGGTTGTGGAGTAGTGGCGGTTGTGGCAATGGAAGTAAAGGAGAGGTGATGGTGGAATGGTGACAACAGTAGCGGAGGTGGTAATGGATCCATGGTGGTAGAGATGGTGGTGGTGTTGGAGTGGTGGCAATGATGGTAGAAAAATCCATTTAAACAAGTACTCAAGTCTAACCCAAAGAGGGCTTTGCAAAATAGGAACTGGTTTTGGCAAACAAAGAGGGCTTCTCACTGATTTTGTATAATAAAACTATAGGAGACGAAATTATTTCCTCGCAGAAATTTTTGTACAATGGTGACGACAATTTTCGTCTCTGCAATGGCGCCCAAATATTCCTCGAAATTTTCCAAGGGTGGGAGTTTTTTTGCGACAAAAAATAAAATATAGAGACAAATAAAATTTTCGTCACCTATTGTTTTATTGATTTTAAGCATTTGGTGACGAAATTTGGTTTTTCTCTCTAAAAATACTACAATTGGACAGGAAATCTTACTTTTATCTCTAAAACATGTATATTTGGAGACGAATTTTTTTTTCGTCATGCGTTTTCGTCACCAAAGACCTTTTTTTGTTGTAGTCTATTTATATCTAAAACTAATATTTTAAATGGCATACCTTCTTGTAGATAAACTTTTCTGTATTCGAAATTTCAATTAGCAGAAGACATAATAGTAAAAATTTTATTTTTTATTACCAGTACAGAAGCATCGTATACATGTATAATTTCTTTCACAATCAAATTTTAAATATGAGCACAACAATGAACATGAAATAAATCACCATCAATAAGTAATTGAAAAGTTGATTTCAAATAGATTATAGTCTGATTGTAATAGTTACGTTATCTAAGCTAATAGTAAATATTTTATTTGCTAACCCCACTCATATAAAACATTTCTTATTTCCACACTATGCGAATGACCAATGTATGGAAGTTCAATTAATGTAAATGAAATAATTCTTTTATTTAATTTTCAATCGATATCAATAAAATGTGAAGTGATACAATAAGATTCTAAACTATTATTTGACTACAAATCAGATGTTAAACAAACTCTTCCATTAAAAGTTTTGAATATGTCAAATAATTTGCTTTTAATATTCTCAAATTTCTTTAAAATCTTGTTTCTAGTAGTATTTCTTCAAAAACTTTGACATTGCGGTGCAAAACTTTCATGAATCATTTGTAAAAAATTGGGACATTCACTAGTAATAAAAGGTTTTTTTTTTAATATTATAATCAACTACATAATTTTGTGTACGTATAGGATCATATAAAAATGTTTGCAAATGATCAGTTGATGAAACCTCTAATTGCATTTGACTTCTAATATTAGGCTATTGACTTTATAAATATTTGTTAACATGCCTTTTTAGATGACTAGTAGCCCCAGCAGATGCAACACTAAGTAAATGTGCACAATATTTATATTTTGCTTTAAATATAATTGTACCATCATAATTATTTACAGATATTTATTCAAAATGATCAAAAACACTACTAGTCATGCCCCTAGATGATGATCTAGTTGTTAAAAGAAGGATATTGGGTACATTAGAAAAAGAATCAACAGATTCATATTGTGTGGTATATGCATCAATATAGATATAAATATTAGGAATATTAGGATCCATAATAATGTAAGTAAAATAATACTTATAAAAACTAATGATTAATTTAAATAATGAGTAAACAATAACAATTAATATATGTTAAGAAATAATTAATGTAACAAAATAAGTAGATAGTAAATTTAATTCAAATATTTAATGTTATCGACTAGTGAATGCGAAACAAAAATTAGCTTCTTTTGATAAAAATTTCTTCTTGCACAATTGCAATTGCCACCTAGGCATGAAACTTCAAAATTAATTGAGAAAGTTGAGAAAGTGAGTGTTGAGAGAGAGAATTGTTTGTAAGAAATAAAATGGTAGAATGGTGGTATTTATAGGAGTTTGGGATGAGGATATCAATTTATATAATAAAAATAAAAAATAAAAAATTGACCGTTGGATGCGTTAAACGATCAAATGACCATTTGAATTTTCCATTTTTATTTTTTATTTTTTTGAATTTTTTGACCATTGGGAGATAGAGAGCCGTTTGAAGGGATGGGCCATGTGTCGGGTCGGGCTACCTACAGGGCACAAAATATTTTGGGCCGAGCTTCCAAATAGAGAGCCCAGGCCTAGCGTCCTAGGCTGCGGGCTTCAAGCAGCCCACAGACCATTTTTAGACCCCCAGACCGGAGGGTGGTGTCTGGGTCAATAAGGTTTACTATGGATTCAGTTTCGATGATCTGAACGTTTTATTTTATAATTTTTTCCTCTATATCATTTACAAAAAGAAAATCTAAATAGATCTGATAATAGTTATATATTCAATTTATAATATTTGCCTCCAAAAAATGAATGATAAGTGTAAACACACTATCTATTTTTTTTGTGATAAAATGTATTAAATTGAATAAGTTATCATTATCAGATCGATCTAATTTTTTTTAATAACTGATATACACAAACAATTTTATAAAATTAAAAATTTGAATGATCAAAACCTCATAGGTCCGAACAATACTTTCCAATCCGTATGAGTAACTAAAAGGCAGCCCAATCCAAAAATTTTAAAACAATAATTGCAAAAATAATATTTCGACGGCAGCAACAACGAATGACTTCATTTAGTTAAACAAAGATGTTTTAGCAACATAATTTACGAGAGCACAGAAGACTCTCACTGCCCTTTTTTCTCTCTAAGTCAATCGATAAAATATTAATGGGTAAAATTATAAATATATCTCTTAAGATTTGTTTAAAATATAGATTGCTCCTTATAATTTGAAAAATTATAAATACCCTTTTGTTAGAATTTTTTATTTAACAAAATATTGGCTATATATTTTGTATAGTCTTATCACAACTTGACACGTGGATTAAAAGGGGTAAATTGAGGAATCAGTGAAGATCTCCAATCATCAACAGATACGGGGCAACCTGCAGTAATGGCAATGGATCCGCAAGACATGGAAATAGTCAAGATATCCAAGGTGACGTGGCCAAACGGTTGTCTATAGTTTAAATTCAAATTAAGGAGGGAAACACAACCATAAAGAGTGGAAGAATAGTGGTGAGCAAACTGATCAAAACTGCAAGTCACACTTAGTGATCATGGAGATCATTTCAACAGTTATCACCTACTTTGGCGGTTATTTTCAGAGCCTATAAATAGAGGAGAGTGCTGATAATGCAGGACCCAGAACCAAATCTAGAAAGTCAGTTTATTTACTTATATTTTCCAGTCCTTTTAATTTCAGTCTTTACATTCATGTATTGCACTTCAAATTCCTAGGAGTAATTCTAAATTAGTCTGTCACTGTAATCCTCTTTAAAGCTGTGAAAGTGTGAATATACCATTGTAAGTTCTTGTTTACTTAATAAAAGATTGGTTTCTGATACTATTGTTTTTTTTTTTTTTTCTATTTTAATAAGCCACCCCAATTTTTCCCTAAAAAGCAAGCCACCAGTAAAAGTCATTTTCATTAAGGTTAAAAGAATTTCGAAGCAATCATTTAACTAATTGGTTGGCATTTATTAAATTTTGTAACGACTTATTGATCCTTGCTAGCACGCTTAAATTACATTTCTAACCTTTGAAAAGCTAAAAACGCCAACATATATTTTTGGCTCGCCTAGTGGGACACTAAAAAATGGCTAGATGCACGAGACAAGGAGAAAATGAACGCCTCAAAGAGGGTGTAGAAAGGGCTGCAAAACCACATAACCCAGAGGATAATGAAATATCACACCCCTTGGATGTGCCTATCTCAACAGATCTTCCATAAATGGTCGAAGAGACCAGTACTTCGAGCACACAACGTATGTTCAAAATATTGGACAGGGCCATGAAACTAGACCATCAACTATCCCCCCTACCCAACCAATGAATCCATAGAGAGGGTTCGTAGATGTTATGAGGCAACGGTTAATTTATACAATGAAAAGACGAGCAACATTCTTTTTGAATCGAATGAATTCTCATTAACCATCTATCACAAGGCAAGTTGAGGACATGAGTCCTTACCAGCATAGAGTGACTCGAGATAAACAGCCTATGTAAAATAATGGACAAACTAATGGTCAAGCTAATAATCAGAACCATGAAAGACCATCACGTGCACCTTAATCATGGTACGAGGCTCCTCCTAGAGCATTGGCAAGTCAAAATGCACCAATGTCTACCAACGAAACCATATATA